AACAAAACATCAAAAATACATTTCTTTAAAGTGCAATATCATTAAAAACAGTATAAAATATGTATGAAAATCTTAACATATTTTCCTTTGGTCAATAGTATAAATGATCCCATGAAATCTAATCCCCAAACATTAAATATTTCAACTTCTAGCATATAATTGAGGGGCATCTCATTTCTTCTAGAAATATTTCTTACTCGCTGACATCTATCACAAGTTTTAATATAAGCATTAACATCTCTAAAAATAGTAGACTAATAGAATCCAGATTGTAAAATTTTAATATGTTATTTTATAAACACCAAAATGTCCCCCAAAATCAGAAATATGACATTTTTGGATAATTTCATAAGTCTATTCTAAAGGTACACATCTTCGAATAATAAGATCATTTTCTTGTTTATATAAAAACGGGTCATCCCAAAAATAAGTCTTAGCTTCAGAAATAAATTTTCTCTTCGGTTGACATGTCATTCCATAAGGTATAATATTACTAACAAGAAAGTTCACAATGTAGAGTGGTTTTTCTAACTCATGTCTGGATAAATGATCAGCAATTTGATTTTCAGTCCCTTACCTATCTACTATTTCAAAGTTAAATTCATGCAAAAGAAGAATCCATCTTATAACTCCAGGTTTGATATCTTTCTTTTTCATTAAATACTTAATAGCAGAATGATCTATATGTACTACGCAATGAGTTCCAATTAAATATGATCTAAATTTATCAAAGGCATATGCTATTGCTAATAACTCTTTTTCAGTTGTTGTATAATTAATTTGGGTTTCATTAAGAGTTTTACTAGCATAGTAAATTATTTTGAAAATTGTCCTAAAACAGCTCCAATAGCATAATCACTAGCATCACATATCAGTTCAAAAAGTTTTCCCCAATCTGTTGAAACTATAATTGGTGCAGTGATTAATTTTTCTTTTAATAACTCAAAAGCTTTTAGGCACTCTTCATCAAAATTGAAAATTGCATCTTTCTCCAATAAATGGCATAAAGGCTTAGCAATTTTTGAAAAGTCTTTAATATATCGCCTGTAGGATCCAATATGTCTTAGAAAAACTCCTAATTTCCCTTAAATTTATTGGATAAGGTAAATTAGTGATCACTTGAATTTTATCAGGATCTACTTTCATATCTTTTTTTTTGATATTTTATGTTCTAATACAATTCCTCCTGCTACCATAAATTGATATTTTTTTTAATTAATGACTAAATTTGTTTCTTCACGGCGCTTAAGAACTTTTGATAAATATTATAAACATGAGTCAAATGAGGTTCTAAACACTGAAAAATCATTTATAAATACTTCAATTCCTTTTTTAATTAAATCACAAAAAAATTGTTATCATACATCTTTGAGATGTAGCAGGGGCACTACATAAACCAAAAGACATTCTTTTAAAAGCAACTGTACCATAAAGACTAGTAAAAGTTGTTTTCTCTTCATCCTCGAGAATTATTTGAATTTGGTGATAACTAGTATATCCATCCAGAAAATAAAAGTATTTATGCCCAACTAGTCTATCCATCATTTGATCTAGAAATGGTAGTGGAAAATGATCTTTCCTAGTAGCAATATTTAATTTTTTATAGTCAATGCATATTCGCCACTCTGTGACTTGTCTAGTATGTATTAACTCATTATATTCATTCATAGTCACAGTGTTCTATAATATGGTTGTCAGGACGACCCCTAGTCTGCACTGCAACCGTCTCATGGGGTGAGCCCGCAAGGAAACCAAAAGAAGGTGAGTTCTCACGATCATCGACTCCTGGATTATGCACAACTCTCTTCCTACACACCCCTTTCGCTCATACCTCACTTGCCTGTTTATGCTTCATGTCTAACTTACGGTCTTACGCCCGCATATCACACATAGCTTTAAGGAGGATACTTTTATCGAAAGACGACACTCCTTTGTCAAACATCACAAAAAACACAAAAGAAATTGACACGATACAAAGGAGCAAGAAGAAACGGATCTGATGCAAACTTTTCTTACACCAAAGCCTATTTATAATGGCTTGGGCACGAAAATCCAGAGAAGTCCATGCCTGTATAATAATATCATTTAATTATTTCATACATGTTAAAAATAGTTTCTTATCCTCGTGTATTGTAAAGCTTTCAAGAAGCTAGACAACTAGGGAACTGAATATGTACATATAAAAATATGTCAGCACAAGTCTCAAGGTAGATGGTCATGAAGATGCGAACAATGGAACAGTTCCTTTGACGATCGTTTTACGGCTGAATATGGCAAGAGAAGCTTCTTGGTCGGATAATCGGTCGAAAGCGCCAAGAGAAGCTCTGGCGAGATGGTAAAGAACCTTTAGGACAATCTACAAGGAGCACTTTTTCAAACTAGATATCAATAAAGTCAAGGATTGTAATTACCTTTCTCTGAAAAGTTAATGATGAGTGAACTAATATATAATTTTGGAATGTTAGGCCCTATGATTATAAATAGGGTTTCATGTCATAAATAAATGACACTTTCTTTTATTGTTTGCGTGTTCCCTCCCTCCCACCCTCCCCCCCTCCCTAATTATTTTATAGGAGAACTTTCTATTCTTTGGGGGTGTCTCGACACTTTGAATTCAACAGAAAAAAATAAAATAAAATGTATTGCATTAATCGAACAGCTGATTGGATGACTTTTAAGACCAATCTTAAATATGATTTATTCAAATATATTGTTTATAAGCCTTACATTTTATATCAAATTTATAACGGGTGCCATCACAAAGTTCACAACGTACTGTAAATGGCATGGTTCTTTGTGCAAAAGCGAAAACATTTAATCATTGTGCAAAGTGCTCATGTAAAGCCATGCCCACACAACTACATAATACAAGGAACACAAAAGCTTAATAAGCCTTCCTTCTCCGGCTAATCCGAGCTATGTGCAAAGTGCTCATGTAAAGCCATGCCCACACAACTACATAATACAAGGAACACAAAAGCTTAATAAGCCTTCCTTCTCCGGCTAATCCGAGCTCGCAGAGGCTTCTTCATCACTACTGTAAATTCAGTCGTCTCAGTGAAATCAATCTCCTCTCCCTCCACAGCATCCCACTGAAACTCCCTCACCAGATTTGCTATAAAGTACTCAAGGTGAAGCATTGCCAGCCCAACCCCAGGGCAAATCCTCCTCCCTACCCCAAAAGGCATCATCTTTATCTCCCTGCTCCCGGTAATATCCACCCCTTCTCCATCCCCTCCGGCCATGAATCTCTCCGGCTTGAACTCCATGGGCTCTTCCCACACCTTCTCATCCCAACCCAAATCCGCCACAGTAAAGTTAATCGATGCGTTCTTGGGTATAAGATATCCTTCGAATTCGACATCATTGACCGCCGAGTGCGGCACCACGAAATGCCCCGGCGGGTGGCGGCGCAGGCCTTCCAACACCACCGCCTTCAGATAAGGGAGCTTCTGCAAATCTTCCTCTTTTATCTCTTCTTCATTTAGCGCTTCCAGTTCCTTCACCAGCTTCCCGTGCACCTCACTCCGCGCTACTATCTCTGCCATAGTCCACTGCAGCGCAGTGGCTGTTGTATCCGTTCCAGCTATGAGAAATTCCGAACAAAGATGTATCATTTCTTTGTCAGTGAGTTTGCTTTCCCCTTCCTCTGCCACATTGATGTCGAGGAGAGAATCCACATACGAAAAAACAAATCTTGCTTCCCCTCCCTGTTTCCGATTCTCTCTGCGAGCTCTTATCAACGGGAGGAAGACTTCCGTCTGCCTCTGCCTTAACCGTTCCACAGTCCTCAACCTCCCCTGGAACATAAATCTCGAGAGAAATTTAGGAACAAAAGCAAAGACTCGCAATTTCTTACTCGAATAAAGGAGGAGCTCTCTCTGCGATGTTTCAATCTCCCTTATGGCCTTCTCATCAAGCTTCTCTCCAAAGCACATGAGGACTAAGAGGCCAAACATGGCTAACTGGAAGCTTTCCATGGCAACCACGGCGCGTTGAGGGGATTGCTCAGACTTGGATTCTGGTTTGGAGATCGCGGATAAGAAGGTTGAGGACCCAACGGCGTCCATCAGCAAAAAGACGGATCTTTGTTGGGTTAAGGATCTCGGAGGTAAGGTTGCGGCGGAGGAGACGCCAGTGGTCGCCGTAAGGGGAAGAGGATATGGTTGAGATGCGGGCGTTAAGGAAGGGGCTGGTGGGAGGAGGCGGTGGGCGGGAGGAGAAGGAGGCGCCGCGCTCGACGAGAGCTTTGTGGGCGAGGGAGCGGTCGGTGATGAAGATGGAGGGTTGGGAACCGAAGCGGAGGGTGATGATGGGGCCGAGTTGGGAACGGAGGTTTCTGATGATGGTTTCTATGTTGGAGAGGGAAGGGGGGTGTCGGAGCCATAGGAGGCTGCCGAGGATAGGGATGGAAGGGGGGCCGGGAGGGAGAGATCGTTTCTTAGTGGAGGGGAAGAGGAGGAAGGAGAGTATGGCGGTGAAGAGGACGAGGATGAGGAGTGTGAGGGACAGGGCTTCCATGTGTAGTCTTGGAATTGTTGCAGGTAAGCTTCTGGTAGGTTTTAAGGGGAAGCCTGACGTGCCGGCGGTGGAATCGGTGGCAGTAGAAAACTTCGCTGATAAGGCTTAATTGAGCGGATGAGATGGTGGCATTTTTTTCTCGACCAAATAAAAAAAAAAGGGCAGAAATAACTTTAGGGCAAATTTGGTTCCAGAGTACGACAACATACAAAACAGAACATAAAATATAAAAACAAAAAATAAGAAAATACTCTAGATATAATATATCTGTATTGTATAAATTAAAGTTTGAGAGATAGATTATAAGAATTTGACTAAATAAATAAGTCTACAATATATATTTTTTAAATTTAATAGGAAAATTAAGTATATGTAGTAATAAAGATATTGTTAGGGATGGGCATAATTTCTTTGGCTGAGTAAATGACATTTTATTTGAATTAAAACTTAATTTTGTGGAATCATCAAATGTTCCCACTTTAATTCCCCTCTTCAGATTTGTAGGAGAACGAAAAGAAACTATCGAATAATCATCTTGTCGATTATCTTGAGAAAAGGAGGTCAATAATATATGATGATGGCGGTCTCTGTCATATTTGACACACCATCTTCGTACAACGTCATCTTCAACAAATATCTTGGTTATTTATATCTACTATGCTAAATATTTTATCCAATCTCATATTAATCTTCTTCTGCCTCCGTCGAGGTTATTATATCACAATGAATGAGAAATAATCATAAAAATGATAAAATTAATCAATAATAAAAGGAGAAAATTGAACGTTGACTGCAAAAATAAACATTAACTCAAGATGTTGTGCAAAAAAATAAGTAAAAAATTTATAAATCCAAATTAAATAGTTTTAACTACAAAACATATTCATTGGAATAGTAAAAACTTGAAATTTAATATTTTAAAACACAAACTAAGGGAATTTATAAGGAATGAACCATGAATTCATTTGCTAAAAATTCTCATGCTTACTCTTATATCATATTTTCACAAACTTCTCCTTTCTTCTTTACCCTTACAAGCACACTCTCACTTTTGTACATTTAATAACACACTCCAAACTCACTAAGTGTCCTCCCTACACTCACAATACATTTTTATACTAATTTTTATTGTCCCTACTACTCAACTGCTCGAAAGCTGTCCACTAACTCCTAGCGACTTACATCAAAATTAACTTGTAATTATCATGTCGAGATATTGTGTTGTTGTGATGCAAAATAGTGTTTCAACAATGATGTTGTGGCATTGCGGTGCTTCAACCTAACGCTGCTACCTTAACATAGCACTATTGTGGTGCACTCTCTATTTTTATGACATTTTTCCTCATGAAATAACACTACAATATTCACTCTCTTTTGCGAAAACATTGTTATTGTGCTATAGTCAAGAAACATGGTGTTATAGTGTCGGTCAAAATTTTGGGTCGGTATATATATATATATATATATATATATATATATATATAATTTTGAAAATTATATTTTAATTTGAAAAATGAGACTAAAAAGATCTCATGCATTTTAATAGTTTAAGTAACCGAACACAACACTACAAGCAATGCACTTATCTCGAGGAATATGCACTTAACTTGACAGCGAGCTTGATTAAATAAACTAAAGAATTTATGAAATTCATGTGGTCTATGAACTTTTTGGTGTAACCGACAAGTTCTCCTACCTAATATAAAGATTAAATAGAGTTTATACTACTTGGGTTCCAAGTTCTCTGTAAGGGTAAGCTTCTATAGTTAATTACATCATAATGACCGAAATCATTTAAGAAAACTCTCAATGATGATCAGAGGTCTTTGTCTTAAAAAATTCAATGTTTAGGTTTTCAAGATTGAACATGGGAAATTCAAATTGGAGTGGCTCAAGTAGGAACAAATTATTTTAAAAGTCAAAGGAGTGAAAGGTAGAGGATGTCACGGATCCAAAGAAAACCTCGAAGACTTTCTGAATTATCCAACTATTTGGCTTTACATTTAGAGATGTTATTTGAATGTTCATCCCTGCCGATATTATTTATTTAGGTCTTAAACTTGCATGATATCCAAATCATGCAAATAACCTACAAATATAAGAGAATTCACGTCGTACCAAACGACAATCTCTGAGCCTAAAGAGAGTTAGGACTTATAGTGCACGACATGATTGGGCATGAGCCTAAAGATAATGTGAGAATTTACGTCATGCTAGAAGAACTACCTCTAAATATTATGAGTTATATAATTTTAAATTAAGGAAAGTTTAGTTGAAGTAGATCTTGTTTCATGTGAGGTCTTAATTTGTTGGCAAAAGGCCCTTTGTCGTTCACTTGCATGCTCGTCGTGCTACCCAAAAGTTTTCTCCGAGCTCCATATCATAGCGATTATGGGATTAAATTTTATGTGAAAATGCAAATTGTTGAGTCATGGCCTGCCAGAAGATACCATATAACACATGTCCTACTGTTGTCTACCCTAGGGTGCTTGCAAGTATTATAAATAAATGCAGAAGTAAAACAATAACAAGGTGCAATAAAAATGCAGTAACGTGTGGTAAATGTAAAATAAATATGTGTGTCTGGGATTTCTACCACTGTTGCAAGGTTAGTACAACATAATATAGTAATGTGCAGAAAATTTAAATAAATCATAAGAAAATCCAAAGAAAACTTAATCAAGTCATAAGAAAACCTGAATGAATAAAACAAAACGTGATGCCACATATAAAAGATCGAGGTTGGGTGTAAGATTTTTAGTAATGGGAGAGCTCAAAACCAGGACCGAAGTCCTAGAAATTCTTCCCGAAGTAACTTCGTAGGCAACTTGTAGTTATCATGTCTGTAAGGCCCAACATAGGGTAAAAGGTTATCAGCCAGGCAATCATATGAGGATAGTCCTTAGCCCGTTCTGTGTGACTGACACATGTATTTGTCTAAAATAATATTTTAAATTTTGAATTTTTTTTTTATTTTTCATGCAAAAGTAGTTTGAATTTTGTGAACATTTAACAAACAAAATACAAGTTTTCATTCAAAAGATACACTTTTAATTATATTTTGAAAATCAGACATTCATGAGTCGGTCACGCCGACAGGCTAGGGCTATCGATCACCCATGAGAATGAGGGGTAGCTTTTTACTAAATGTTAGGGGTTAGTAATGCCAATTTCTGACCCACTCACGAGTCTAGGACATACATTACTCCTCACATACCTATATATCATTCACATCATCACTCTTACCACCAAGACCGCCAACTTACACCAGCCCGATGATCCATATGTGACATTTAAAAATGTCCCCAATTTCTTGGAGGATCTGCATGTAAATTTCAAGCTCATATTCCATAGCATTGGGTTTCATTGCAGGTTAAGTTAGAATGAAGATTTTCAATAGTTGATTTAATTATAAGGGTCCCGAGTCATGTCTTGGCGTGTCCTAAAAGATTTCACCTGGTTTAACTTGTCTTTTAAGGATGATTTTCCTCAACAATTTTTGATAAGTCAAAGGTGCTCTAAGACATTCAAAGGCTTGCAAAGATGTTCAGAGAGTGATTACAGACAACCTTGGAATTTCCTGGACTATCTCAAGTTCATTAGGTCTTGTCACATGGTTGGGTCAATTACCCCATGTTGAATTAAGATTGCATTTTTACCCATGGATTGTGGATAAATGATTAATTAACATGCAATTGAAAGATGATAGGGCAAACCTATCTGGGGTGTGCTTGGGAGACTTAAAGGATTTTACACTCTAGCTTAGGCTTGAAGTATTTTAAGGTACTTCATTTTTAGTTAAATGTTTTCCAACTATAAATGTTTTCCAACTAATCAGTGTCTTTAGATTAAACCTAGCTCACTATCAAGCTTTTAAGACTTATGAGCAAATTTGTAATTTTGCAAAAAAAATTATGAGTGTGTTTTAAGCTTAATTAAAAGAATTGGACTTTAGTTTATCCAATAAATAGGGGTCCAAATTTATAGCCTACTAATCTTCTAATTCATACACTTTACACTTGAATCATCTGAGTTCTTATTTTCTTCCAATTCTCAATAATTTTCATAATTACAGGAATTACTACAAATTGGTTATTACCCAAATTTCCATTAGTTTTCAATCATTTTAGTGGACTAATAATCTTTTTTTTTTAGTTCCCTCCCCTCTGATTAATCCTAAAAAATATGGTTAAAGTGTCAAATTCTAAAATTACAATTCTACCTTTAGGGTTTAAACCACTTAAATTTCAATTCTTAAATTGAAATTTGACATAATGCAAGTGAAGTCTCTATACCTGATCTCGATCTTGTGGATGATGATCAACAGTTGGTACCATTAGTTTTGATAGTTCAGAGGATATCTATAAAAGAAGAACTGGAAAAGCTCAGGGCCAACATCAAAAAATTGTCTGACTAAAAGGAAAAGGAACCCATGAATGATGATGAAGAAGAAGACCTTTCTAAGTTCATAGAAGAGGATTTTGCTGAGAGCGACATTAGAGACTCATGCTTCTTTGTCTCTACAAAGAGTAACCCCTGCAAATGAGGAAAATAATGCTAAGCTATGTAGAGATAAATTAAACAAAAAGATGAACAAATCATTCACTCAAAAAAGTGTATGCAGGAGATGATGATTGCAATGAAAACTCTGCACAGCTTGCCTCAGTCACCAAGGGTGGCACCGATCGAAGTAAATTAACCAGAGGTCTTTCAGATAGCTAAAGAAAAGAAAAAAAAAACTACTCTTCAATGGGGACAGTCAACTAAAAAGTATTCTATAAATAACACAATTTAAGAAAAAAAACATCAAGCAGCTTGTGGAATAACAACTGAAGGAAGCCTTAGCCTAGTCAAAGGGTGAAGCATAGTATCAGAAGAGCAAGCCTTACTCAGAGGAATTTAACATTGTTCAATATCCAAAGGGTTTCATGCATTTTTATTTCATGGGATACAACAAATCCCACCTTCTGATAATCTCAGCCATGGAGCGCCTATCCTTTCTGGTTATCTTCTCAAACATGTAACAAACTCTAGCAAACAACAAGTTCTTCTTCTCCCCATGAGTGTGGTTGTATTCAAGCGATAGCGATAAAGTATTAGCCATCCTCTAGAAATTTTCTTCTCCAAATATAGCCAACAGTTGGTTAAACATACTACTTCTTATTGGTGGAGAGCTCTCAGAAAGTGCAAATCCCTCTTCCTAGTCTATCTTTTCAACCAATCAGTATTCAATCTTTAGTTTAGCATTAGTAGTTTTCTATTCATTTTCGTTCTCCAAGCTTGCGACAAAGCTATTGACCTCGAAATAGACCCGATCTCAAACTTTGATAGAGGAACTTTGCAATCCATCATATTGGCATTTTCATTGAAAATTACATTCTTCTAGAAATTTTCGCTTCACTCGCGTTTCAAAAACAGTAGCTTTCTTATACTCAGATAGATTTCCAACTGATCCCTTTGGCAGTATTGAAAATTCTTTCTGACACTTGAAATTAAACTAAAGTATTGGCTTCTTATCTTTCACAACTTCGACATTCATAACAACAATGGAAAGAGTACCACAAGTCATTTCCAAGTCTTGAAAACCCATGTCATACTTAATAATGGCTCCTTGAGGCAGGGTTGTCTTTATTGATCACAATGTTCAAACCAATCATGAAGTAGAAAATCAATTTAAGGGAAGTCATTTCTGAAAATTGAAAAGTTAAAACAGTTAATTCATTGCTCAGAATGATCGTGGAGGGTCCAATAAGAAATCAAATTATATAATTTGTCATATTTATAAGGAAGTTCCAAGAATTGACAAGTTAAATTAAATTTTTCAATATTAAAAAAAATATATATGATTGAAAATTTCAAAGGAATGAATTCAAGAAAGATTAAGGGTTTCAACTAGTCATGGCCAAGCAAACCTAAAAGGAAGAAAATTTAATTTGAAAAAGAAGTGATCAGGAAGAATGAACTTAGGCCCAAGATCAAGAAAAGCTGAATTTTAAACATGTTTTTCTAATCTTAATAAATAAAATTTTATTAGGGTTCCAAACGTTTAGAATTTGGGAGATTCTAAAACTTGCTCATTTGGAATGTTTAAACAAGTGGTTCTAAATTGAAAAACTAACTTTGGCTATACTCACCTAAGATCAAAAAGGGTAAGATACCTAATAGACCAAACTCTGATAATTTCTTTTGTGTTATGTTGCATAGATCTTGAAATTTTAATTTTTAAAATAATCAAATACGTCATCAAAAGTAACATATTATATCGAAAGATAAAAATATCAATTTACGATGGATTAAATTATTCAAAGAATTTAATTTTTTTATATTAGATGGGTATGCATTTAAACAAATAAAATTTTCTCCTACCTAAACCTGAATTATTGATATGATTTAGATTAATCCAGGTTACTAACTTTCTATAAGGGCAAACATCTATTGTTAATTACATTTTAAGAAGCAAAAATTTTGTTAGAAAACTATCAATTAATGCTGAGTATATCTTCAAGAATTTTAAAGTTTAGGTTTTCACGATTGTTTGTTTAAAACTTCAAATGGAGTAGATCAAAGTGGAACAGTTTTTTTCGGAACCAAATGAAAAAAATAAGACGTGTTGAAATAATGAGAAGCTTAGTGGCAATTTAACTATCCGATCATTAGATTTTATTAATTTTGAAATTGAAGAGATTTTAATATTTGAGTTCACATTTTATTAGAATGTTAAGCCTTATATCCCATGATATATGATCATTAGAAAGTCTAGAAGATAAAAACTTATATTGTAACTAGACGAAAAGCCTCATATTCTTAAGACTAATGGTGGCATCCACTAAAAGAATTAGAACCTCGAAATCTTGTGTAATGAGAAAATGCAACAAATAAGAACTTGTAGCACAATCTTACAAATGATCAAGTAAGGTCAAAATGATTAGATTTATAACCCTACCTGAATATGACTGACATCTAAACCTACTTAATCATAGTAAAACCATGCTTTATCAGTCTAAAGAGATGTAACATATGATAACTTTTTTATTTATTAAGAAAAATAGGCCTTACAACTTAATAATAAAATCAAGATGCTTAAATATGAAGGGTTCTTTTTTGTTGTTTGTTTGTTTGTTTTGAAGGGTATATGGGTTTTATTGATTTTCTAGAAGGGTATCGTTAGTTTGGTGGAAGGGTTTCTTAGTTGTTTGTTTTGAGATTTTGTTTGTATTATGATCTCAATTCGAAAGCAGCTTTGAGACGTATTTGCTTTTTATAAAAAAGTTATGGGATAATTAATCAATTATGTATATCAAGAGATATATAAAATAAAAGGGATTAAAAAAAAAATTATTTTTTTCTTAATTAAAATTTGATTTAAATACTTAATAAACACCTTAACTTTTTATTTATTTATTTATAAACAACATGCATATATTTATTTCCTAGAACAACTATATGCTCGAAAGGAAAAAAAACATTAGGGGAAAAGAACAACCCAAAAATGAAGCATCAAGCTCTGTTTCTGGGAGAAAGACGGGCTCTAAGAGGATTCTTCATCACCACAGTAAGCTGAGGCTTCTCCGACAAATCAATATCCTCTCCATCCATGACATCCCACTCAAAATCCCTCACCAGATTGGCCACAAAGTATTCCAGATGAAGCAAGGCGAGCTTCAGCCCGGGGCAAATCCTCCTCCCAACCCCAAAAGGCATCATCTTTATCTCCCTGCTTCCAGTTATGTCCACCCCTTCTCCATCACCTCCCGCCATGAATCTCTCCGGCCTGAATTCCATGGGCTCTTCCCACACCTTCTCATCCCAGCCCATCTGCGCCACCAAAAAGTTAATTGAAGCATTCTTCGGGATAACATATCCTTCAAATTCGATGTCCTCTTTCGCAGAATGCGGCAGAACGAAATGAGCCGGCGGGTGGCGGCGCAAACCCTCCAAAACCACCGCCTTTAGGTACGGCATGCTCTCCAAATCCTCTTCTTTGATCTCTCCACCCCCGTTTCGCTCCACCGCCAGCTCGATCTCCTCCAGCAGCTTCCCCTGCACGCGCTTGTGCTTCACAAGCTCCGCCATGATCCACTGCAACGCTGTCGCCGTGGTGTCTGTTCCGGCAATGAGGAACTCAGAACAGAGCGACACCAATTCGTCTTCAGTCAGCCTTCTCCTGCTTTCCTCCGCCAGCGTGATGTCGAGGAGGGAGTCAACATACGAAAGAACGAATCTTTCTTCCTTAATGAAATTCTTTTCGGTGTCCCTCCGCTCCATGCGAGTTCTTATCAAAGGAACAAAGGTATCCTTCTGCTTCTGCCTCAGGTCTAGGATAGTCTTCCACCGACGGCGAAATATATACTTTGCGATTCTCGGAGCAAAGGAGAAAACATTGAGCTTCCTGCTGTAAAGAATTAAATTCGTCTGCACGGCTTCGATATCCCTTATGGTTCTCTCGTCAAGCTTCTCCCCAAAGCACATGAGCACCAGAAGACTGAACATGGCGAACTGGAAGCTCTCTATGGCGACGACGGAACCGTCGGATGATTCCTGAGCCTTGGTTTTGAGGTCATGGAGCAGCAGAGCTAGCACCCACGCGCGGCCGGGAGCGAAAAGACTGAGCTTGGAAGGGTGGAGAATCTCGGTGGTGAGGTTGCGACGGAAAAGGCGCCAGAGAGGGCCGTAGCCGGCGGAGGTGATGTTGTGTTGGTTGCTGCTGAGGAAGCGTGAGGCAGGGAGCGGCGGAGGGCGATCGGAGAAGGCGGCGCCGTACTGGACGAGGGCTTTGTGGGCGAGGGAGTGATCGGAGATGAAGATTGCGAAGATGGAGCCGATTCGGAGGGTGATGATGGGGCCGTACTTGGCGTGGAGGTGTTTGATGATTTGCTCGATGTCGGTGAGGGAGTGGCGGAGCCAGAGGAGGTTGCCGAGGATGGGGACGGCCGGAGGGCCGGGAGGGAGGGGTTTTCGCTTCCATGTGAGGAAATGGAGGGAGATTGCCGCGGTGAAGGAGACGAAGAGGAGCACAAGCCAGGAGTCCATGAAAAAGATGCCGTTTTTTTCCCTTCTAATTTATGTTTTTCGCTACCATTTATTTATCCATTCCGGATGACATGTTAAGCCTTGGCGTCCACTGCACGTTTGGTGGCTATTTTGTAGTTTCTAGAGGATAATATAATATTTTTTTATTTGTTTTTAAGGTGGATTTACATAGATATATATATATATATATATATATATATATATATTATTTTGGGTGTTCAGTAAAACATCATAGATGTGGAGCGTGCGGGTGATGTATCGCAATTCCCAAGTTTTAAGTTCTTTTTTTCCACGAATTAAAATTATAAAGCTTATTATGATATATTTATTTTTATTTGGTTGATTTTAATTTTGTTTGATTTGATTATAGTTTTAGATTTGAATTAGAGTTGGCTCAAATTTTATTTTAAATGGAGTCTAATCCTGGTTGATTGGCTGATCCAAATTTTGTTCAGTCATTTAATGACAATAGAGAAAGGGTAGATGAGACATGATATAAACCAAGAGAAATAGACTTCAGTATCTCTTTCATTTTTTTCTCTAATATTTTGATTTGTCCGTTGTCGGTCGCTTTGAAAATAATTTAATTTTTATGTATATAATTTTGATTTTGAAAAATAGTATTTTGATTTTAAAAAAAATTAGCCAGAATAGATCTCATATATTTGATAGTTTAAGCAATGGAGCACGTACCATAAGTAATACACCATCTCGAGAAACATGCATACTACTTGGTGGTGAGCTCGATTATATAAACTAAAGAATTTATGACATATGTTTGGTCTGTGAATATTTTGTGTGACCGACAATTCTCCTACATAATATAAAGATTAGATATGATTTATATTATCTAGGTTTTTAATTTCTTATAAGGGCAAGTCCCGATAGTTAATTATATCTTAAATAACTAAAATCATTTAAGAAAACTCTAGATAATGATCCAGGGTTTCTTTTTCAAGAATTCAACATTTAGTGTTCACGATTGTTTAGAAAAAAATCAAGTGAGAATGACTCAAATAGGAACAGTTATTTTAGAGAGCAAATATGCGAAAAGTTGGTGTCAAAGATAATGAAGAAACCCCAGTGACTTCTCAAATTATCATATGGTTTGACTTTACATTTTAGAAACGCAGTTATTTAATGTTTACTTCTGCCATTTATTTAGGATTTAGGCTATACTTGTGCAACATTGATCGTGCAAGTAGTCTACAAAGATAGAAGGATTTAAGTCATACCGAACAAACAACCTTGGAATCCTAAAAGAGTTGGGAGATATTCTGCACAACATGGTTGTGCAAAAGCCTAAATATAGTGTGATGACTTACGTCGTACTAGACGAACAATCTCGAAGTCCTAAGGATTTATATTATTTAAATCTAAGAAATTTTTTTGTTGAAGTAGATTCACTCCATTGATGAGTGTTGATTGTCATATGAAGCCATTCTCCATCTACTTGTGGCCTATTTTGAACTCCTTGCGGTGATGGTTGCAGAATTTAGGGTTCGTATGTGAGCATGTAATTATTATTGAGTCCTAGTGTCTGGTGTAGTGTTCCTCCTAAACATGTCCTACTGTTGTTTACCTTAGAGTTCTTTTACAAGTATTGTAAATAACTGAATAACAAAATATGTACAGTAAAGCACAATAAGAAAGAAAGTGCAATGAAAAGGAAAGTGGCAGTATGTACCTGCCGCCTGCGATGTCGCTGATGAAAGGGGTTTTAACTACAAGTAGAGCGCGCAAATATTATAAAAGATTAAAAAAGCGCAAAAGACATGTATATATGTGTATATAAATATTAAGTGACACATATATGGAAGATCAGAAATGACTATAAGAATTTGTTAAGAGTAGGCTCAGACTCATAATTCTTTGGGGACCTCCGTAGGCAACCATAAGCAATATGTGTGCTTTGTCCCTTCCAACCTTGGGTGGAAACGACCAACCAAACAATCGGATGAGGGCAACTCCTATCCCAGTCAAAGTGATTATCAAGTGGACTTGTATAGGATAACACCCAAAATTCTTAACTTGTCAGGCATGTATAGTGAAATTTTTACTCAATAGTCAAAGATAATGGTGTCATGAGAAAAGATTATTATTATTATGTTATATATATGTACTTTGTAAATCAAACAATCCATAAAATTAATCACTCGGATTAGGCTAGAGCTACAAGCAAAGTCATAAATCAAGCGACAACTTCTTACCAAGTGTTGGTGAACAGTAACATCGATCCTGCACCCTACCAGAAGGTCCTCACGCCAGAAGAAATTATTTTATTATCCCACTTTTAGCACCAAAAGCGTTTCGTATCATTGCCTTTAACCCCTAAACCGTCCAACTCATAACCCAGCTTGATGATCTACATACTGTCATAGTTCAAATATGCCCAGTCGCCCACATGGGTTTGAATACTATCGCCAAAACTCATACCCTTTAGCATTGGGTTTTACTGTAGATTTAGTAGTAGGTTATTCATCATTAATGAGTCTTAAGTTGAAGGGCCTCAAATCATATATTGGCGAGTCCTTAGATTTTATGGAAGATTTTCTTCAACAAATTATAATAAACCCATATGTCATTTAAAACGTCTAAAATTTTGCAAAGGTGTTCAGGGAATGACCTTAAAAAACATCAAAATCCCTTGGACCATTTCAAATTCATTGGGTATTACTATGTTGTTGAGTTAATCCTTCCAATTATATTATGAGCATTTTAGGCTGCAATTATGCTCAGTGTAATCTTGATATCTTAGTTAACCCATGAGTAAGACAAATGATTATTTACTTAATGTCATGTTAAAAGTTGTACAAGTAAGCACCCCTATGGGTATATTTGACCATTAGAGAATTTTACACTCTTGTCCTTCAATTAGGTTCGAGCTTGCAGCGTTTTCAGATGTTTTGCTCTTAGTTATTTATTTTTCTTAACTATTCCTCCAATGGTAGTAGATTAAACCTAAGTCACTATAAAGCTCTTAGGGCTTAAGGGAAAATTTATAATTTTTGAAAAAGACTTATAAAATATGTTTGATCTTCATTGAAAGATTATTTTTTTTTACCATTGGTCAAGGATTCAAATCAATGAATTATGAACTTCCTAACTCATATCCCTCACCCTTGGATCATCCAAATTTTCATTTTCTTTCTATAGCTAAAAATTTAAATAATTACAATTTTACCCTTTGTAGAAAAGGCTGTGAACTAATGAAGAATTTTGGAATACAGAGTCTAAAGTGTTTATGCTCCTCAAGTAGGTTTAGATACAGAGTCTAAAGATAAATTTTGGAATGACTTAGAAGACTTAATACAAATGATACCTCTTGAAGAAAGAATTTTTATTGGAGGAGATATTAATGGACATGTCGGTAGAGTGGTAAAAGATTTCAGAAATATTCATGGTGGCTAC